TTTCTTTTGGGTTTTTTTTTTTTTTTTTTTTTTTTTTTTTTTTTTGTATAAATGCCAGCCACCAGGCTACGGTGGCTGTCTCTCTGTGTAAACATTCCAGAGATGTTTGGTGTCACTTTAAAAGAAAGTTCATCACTGCACAAGCATGAGACCGGATTCTCATGCGAGGAAGGATGAAACTTCTTCCAGCAAGGCACATCTTTTAATGAGGAATCTTTTAAAGGCTTCATGACTCACTTTTAGCTGCCATGGACTCACTTCTCTTCTCTTCTTGTACAGGCCACTTCTAAAGGATTTGTGCTGGTACAGACTAAGGAGGTCTCTATGAAGCCTGAGGATGCAAGGCGTGTGTTTCAGAACAGCGCAGATGACCTTGTGGAGTGGATCAACAAAGGTATGTTCATTTTACTTCATCTAATTCCTCAACTGAACTGTAATTCAGCTTAATATCTCCCAGTCATTTGAGGAAGTTGTTTCATAATTCTAGCAGCTATTTAGTGCATTTGTAAAGCCTGGTGTAATCTTAGAAAGGTTCTCATATGTGTGCGCTTCCGCGTGCCCTGCATTATACAGCAGATCCATGTGAAACACACCAAGGCATGTCTGAAATTCTTTGAATTCCTGTCCTGTGTTGTTCCGACGCCTTCAAATATAAACAGAAGCGTAACTTTATTTAATTTTCTCATGTGATTATGGACTGAGGAAGAATAAAAATACAGTAACCCTGCAAAAGTTGTCATGCCCCTTGAGGTTTTCCCCATTTTGTTACTTTCAAAGCAGCAACATCAATATCTCTTTTTGGTTTCATACCCATCATCTGAAAATGAGAAGAATACATCCTAATCATTTTTAGTAAGATAAACCTATGCAGAAGTCCCGTTCACCGTCAGTCATGTTGGAACTGACGGCGAACGGGACGCCTTCAGTTCCACAGTTACATGGAAGATTGTCCACTGGTCAAACGAAACAAAAACTAAACTTCCTGTCCTATATGCAAAACATTGTGTGTGGAGAATAGATGAGAGACTTTTCCACTTAAATATAACATCCATCTGAAGAGACTGGGTGGTGGCAGCATCATGCTCTGAATGAAGCTAAATGCAGGGCAATCCTGGAAGAAAACCTGTTGGTGCCTGCAAAAGACTGTGAGCCAGGCCTTCTTGTCCAACATCAGTGTCCGATCTCACAAATGGGCTTCCGGGACCTTGATTAAAAAAAAATCCAATTAACACACTCATGGAAAGCCTTCCTGGAAGAGTTGAAGCTCCAATAGTTGGAAATAGTGAGCTGATATCATGTTAAGACTACAATTACCCTTCAACATTTTGTGTGTGTGCACATGCATGTGTGTGTGGTTTTTATATCCTTATGGGAACCTATTTCTTTCTACAATGTGGGGTTATGGGAACCATTGCTCCTTGTGGGGACTTTTTCTTGGTCCCCTGGAGGGAAATTGTTACTTTTGGGTTAGTGGTTAGGAATGTGATGGGTAGGGTTAGGATAAGGTGTAGGGTAAGGGTTAGGCTGTAGAAATTAATGGAAGTCAATGTAAAGTCCCCACAAGTGATGAAAACATGACTGTGCATGTGCGTGCGTGCGTGCGTGAAGGTAAAACCTTTAGCACTGTAGTGTATTAAAAATACTGGGAGCTGGAATTGGAGTGAAAGTACCAAAATATAAACACGTTTTTGTTTCTTTTACACTAATGTGTACTTTGTGGTGTTTGTCACATCAGAGCCAGTTAAATCAGGTTACAGTAGAAAATGTAGGGATGAATACTTTTGCAAGACACTGTAGGTCAGGGGTGTCAAATTCATTTTCATTTTCATTTCGGGCCACGGCAAGATTATGAGTGTCCCAAAAGGGACAGCTGTCCTGAAACGTATTAATAAAACTATCTATTGACAATCTGTTGGGTATTATAGCTGTGTTTTACAGTGGTGTGTTAGGGCCATGGTAGATGGAAGCCAATAAACTAGCATTTTGTCAGAATGTCAGTAAATTCTTTAGAAAAATACATGAAGATTTTTAAGATGCGTTGAAAATTTGTAAGGAAATCTCAGAAATTTTGAGATTACCAGATTATTTATTTATTTATTTAGAAATTTTTTTAGATTAATCTAAAAGTTAGACAGTTTTTTTGGGGGGCAGAAATTTATCCCCTTTTTCTCATCTACAACAGTCCTAATGCCGTCATAATGTCTGCATTCGATGAGTACTGAAATTAAATAATATTTTAACATCTTTCTACATTAGAGTTTGGCACTATACAAATAAAACTTATTTGATTTTACTGAATTAATATTTAAGCACACAACCGTCATCTATAAGTTCTATTTATGAAACACTCTGGAGTCTTGAGGACCACATAAAAATGTTATTGTGGGCCAGATTTGGCCCACAGGCCTCAAGTTTGACACATTTTTTTTTTTTTTTTCTGTCATGATCTCCTTTGAATACATTTGCTTTGTGTGTGTGGACGTGGTAAATGTTGCATAAGTCCCCCAGAACCCTCAATATGAAAACCTCTGCTTCCACGGGGAAGCCCTTTGCTGTTTCTGTTTGAAAAACGTGAGCGGAATGTTGAAGGGATTGGGATCGGTCCGAGTCCCCACACTGGGATCAGGGGTGTGGTTGCCCTGACTCTGAATTTTTCTGTCTCTCCACTCAAGGCCCGGTCACTGCCCTGGAGCTGAACGGTGATGGAGCAGTGGAAGGATGCAAGACCATCGCCAGCGAGGTTTTTAGTGGCACTAAGGTAGGCATTTTTACTTTTTTTTTTTTTCACTTTTGGAGCGTTTTTCTTCTTTAAGCGCTCACACACGTAGCCTCACTTATGTTCTTCTTTTTTCTTCAGATTTTTGTTTCAGACAATAAAAATACGTCAACCCGAGACGTCGACAGCTTCTTCAACTTTGCCGACATGCAGATGGGTTTGTAAATAAGTCGGCCGTCCAAACAAGCTGCCTGAGCTGATTGAGATTCCTTTTTACGGGGTGAAAGGCGGGAACGGAAAATTCTCCGCACCGTTTGATGTTGCCTTGGATCGAATGAGTCAGTTTTCACAATTGCATGAAAAAGTTATTACATTTTTTTTATTTTTTATTTTTTTTTTGTTTTCGTTTTTTTAATGCCGAGGGAAGAAAAGGCTGCAAACCACTCAAATGTTAGTTCCTAAGAGTGCTGTGATTATTTATGTTTCTGTGAATGTATTTTGTAACTCTGCTTTCATCCATCTTTCGTGAATGTAGCTGTTTCTATAAATGTCTTTTTTATGTGCTTTATTTAAAATGTTACTTTTTATTGATTTCTAGGATAAAAGAGAGCAAATGAGGGTGGGAGCAAATGAAGGGAGCATATGGTTTCTCTTAGAATTATGTGTGTTTGTGGTTTAAATACTGGATTTTTCTCTGTTCAAAATGTGTATATAAAAATGTGCTGTATAGGTGATGACCATGTTTATACTCTTAGTTCTTAGGCCCAAACCAGGTTGTGAAAAGTTGATTTTAAGTTACCGTATCTGTTTTCGCCAACACATAAACACAGGAGAGAGGCTGGATTTTTAAAGTAGGCAACTTGTTGTTGTTTTTTTACATATATATTTTTTATATTCATTACTGGACTTTTTTTTTGTATAGAAACAAAATAATCAACTATATGTGAATATATATTTTGTAAAATGTTATTTTGTAAGATGACTGAAAGAAAATCTCTGTTTCTTCTTCACAACTTTAAAGGCTGAAAAAAGGAATGTCTAAAGTAAAATTTACCTTGTTACTCATACTCAGCCTGATAACAGATGTGGAAAAAATAGACGCTGGTCAAAAGGGAAATGCTCTTCTTCCTCTTTGTGAATTTGTCTTCTTTTTTTTTGTTCAAAGCCTCTAAACGTCCATTTAAAGAGACTGAAAATGCAAGCACACTAGTTGATTCACTATTGTTGATTAATTATTTACTATTAGTCCAACTAAATTGGTTTAGTCTCTCTTCTGGATGATGAGTTTAGTTGGAGTTTTTGGTCGAGAGAAAAAAACAAATCCTCCGTAATTCACATGTATTCCACTGACCTGAATCATACGTCTCATTATAAACTGATGACCTCGTTTACAGACTTCACTTTACCCAGTGATATAAAAAACAAACAAAAAAAGCATATAAATCATTACCATACTGTTCCTGTTTTTTTAATCATCACTTCTGATTTATGTTTTTACAGTCACTTCTAAGAACACCCATAAAAACATGCCATGTGAAATTTGTCAATTTATTTGTATTTGTATATTGATTTTTTTTTTTCTAGAAAGTATGTGTGTAACTATGACCTTTATGAAATGCCAGATTCATATTAAAATCCATAGATTAAATGATTTTTGTCTAGGCGATTATTTACTTGTAATGGCTATTCACCCAATAAGGTTAAGTGTTTGCGTTTGGTTTGACCATAGCGGCAAGCGCCAGAGTGCAAAATTGAGCGCACCCAGGGCGGAGGAAAAGCGGCGGGCTTTAGGACCCGTCGCTACGGGCGGTACAATAGAGCTGTTGTGCCGTGTTGGTGGTGGACATACTGCAGCCTGGAGATTCCCACTGTGGTGGGGTACAAAAAGCTTACATTTTATTTAATATTAGGACCACAGGCCATATTTTCATAACTGTATGTATGTTCGGTCCGTGTGACCGTGTGTTTGAAGGGAGCAAAGCGGAGAAAGGCCGTGGATGGAAGGTAAGATGGGAGGAATGTGAACAATATGCTCGTGTGTTCAGGGTGCCAGGATTTACCCTGGATGGTTTATTCAGGCCACGGGGCCTGCTCCTTTCACGCTATACCGAGGCCATTTCTGCGCTTTTGCTTCGCAAATACTACCTGCTCTGTGGAGGAGTCTCTCTTTAGAAACTTGTAATTATCTTCGCAGAGCATTTAAGCAACTTGAGCTGTGTAAATACTTGCCTTAATGTCTGTAGGAAGTGACATCTTTGTAAGAAGGTGGCGCCATGTTTGACTTTATAGCCTACAAGACAGCCTGGTGTAGGCCTGTGGAAGGGAGTGTTTGGCGCCAACAACTCCGTTTAGTTCTTCTTTTTAGTAATGGAAGCACAACATAAATCTCCCAGCTTGACGTTTAACTCAATACGACAGCCACACGTTACATTAATGTCGGTAGAAATGAGTAAATCCAGAGGAAACCCCTTTAATCATTGTATTCTCAACCCAAAGTGCCTCTAGTTAAAGAGTAGCATGTAGACATGCCATACACCAACATTCATAGTTCCTTCCAAAAGTATTCAGTCCCCTTGAATACGCCAGCAATGCACAATTATTCCATTTATGACTCCAAATAAAAATCTGAAAAGTGTGGCTTGCATTTGTTTCCAGGCCTACTGAGCAAATACTTTACTTCAGTGGGTTTAGTTGGGATTTTTATGCTACGGAACATCACACAGTAGCCCACAATTGTGAAGCGGAACAGTAATTCAAAAGGTATTGAACCATTTATAGATATTTACAGCAGCAAGTCTGGTGAGTTATGCGTCTACCTGCTCTGTTCGTCTACAAACTGAAACATTTGCCCCTTATTCTCTGGATAATAGCTCGAACTTGATCTCATTGGATGAATAGAGGCAATGTTTAAGCTGTTTTCTTCCAGGGCCACCCCATATGTAACACCGTCCGTCCAGGTAAACATGGAGCTGGAACCACCATGTTTACCTGTTGCGTACAGTCATTTCAGGGCTGACGCCTACCGGTTCAAACGTATTCCGTGAAGTTCAGTAGAGAACACCTTCTTCCAGTTGTTTACCGTTCTGCCTGTGTGGTTTGTACCAAAATGCTAACAGGACTTTATTAGCCAGTAGCTTTCTTCTAATTCCCTTTCTATTAAAAACACAATATTGGAGAAAACGACACCTCTTGGTTTTCAGAAACGGTTTGGAAGTCCGATAACGTTTTACTTCTGCTTCATAATTATGCACCAATTTGTGTTGTTCTCTTTGATGTGACACATTATTGTTGTAACTTCACAAAAAAAAAGAAAATAAATTCACAGTCTATGAAAATATGTGCATGCCATACATTTACGCTCAACTATACATTTCATCCATTTTCAGCACTCTGAACTGCGTTGTTGCTGAAAAAATGCTACATAAATAAAACTTCTTATCCTTATTTTTTTTTTATCATTTATGTAACATTAAAAACAAAAAAAAAAGATTACTGCATGCACTTTCTCAACCCATGACAACTGTTTTGTTAGTTTCCACTCAAGCATGACGAAGTCACTGAGAAATCCCCCACTTCTACCCTTCTCAGTGAGTGGGTTTTTATCTCACGATTCACTGAAATTCACCGAGGTTAAGCGTTCGTCGTCGCTCTTTGGCGAATCTCGGTGCACTCGCGAAAGAACACAAAAGTCAGATTTTTAGCTCAGACAAAGTTGTAAATAACTAAAATTGAATTTTGAGTTCATTAAATCCAGGGCGTGAGGGCAAACGAGGAGCTTCGCTGTGGGAAAAACGTCTGAATGAAATCAGTCGAAAGCCTGGGCACGTTTCCTCCGTTCCCGGTGGAAAGAGGAACTAGTTTGATGCGTCTTCCTCCTCCTCCAGCTGCTCCTGCCGTCCTGTCCTCATGGGGAATGTGAGGCATGTCCTGTCTGTTGAAAAGGCTTACTTACTGTACAGGAGGTTACTCCTTGCCTATGAGCTTTTTGAGAACTTGTAATGAGTCATCCACCCAGTCTAAACACACACGCTGTTGGCTTTATTTTTTATATATATATTTTTTTCTTCTGTTTGGCTTTGATTCTGCTGAAGCGTAACCAGAGTGAAGGATGTCTGACTTGTTTTATTTCAACCGTTCACTGGAAACGTTTTGTTCTGGACCTCACCTGAAGAAAACAGTGCCTTCCTGAACTGTTTGCACCTCTTGAAGTTTGATGCGTTACCATGACAACCTCGACATATTTTTATGTTGCAGACCAACGCAGAATATAGTGGACAGATGTGATTCATGGTTTTCTTTCTTTCTTTTTTTTAAAATAGAGATATTTTTAAAGGGGCGACATTCAACCGCCGTTTACTGACAATCATTAGTTTTATGTGCCTCTCCTGTTGACTTGTACCGCAGTGATGCTTCACTTTGTGTTGGTTTGTCACATAGAATCTTAATGACGCATTTACACTTTATTTATTTCTGTATTTAAAGTTTAGCAGGAGTATGCATATTATCGTAAAACACAAAGTTGACTTGCGTCTTCCCTCCTGCAGATATGAAACAAAGAGGTTAGTTATCAGAAGACTCCACTGGCATGCTTTGCAGTCTGACGTTTATGGTGAGTACCCATCATCCTCTCCGTCAACCAAATCTAGACTTAAAAATCAATTTTTAGATTTTTTTTTTTCCGAATTTGATTTCCAGTTTTTCAGCCATTTTTTTTTTCCACTTTTTTGTTAAAAACAAAGACAAATGACGGAAAATAAATCACTTTTTTTTAATTTATAAATGTTTTATTTTTCTGTTATCAGAATTTCGCTAATAGTGTGCACCCAATATTCCACTTTTTCAGACAGAAAGTAACCAAGAGAAGCTCAATTTTCAATTCTAATAGATTTTTATTTTTCCCCTCACTTTTCTTTTAAAAAATTACAAATGACAAAATTATCTTTTTTGTTTTAAATTGGCTTTTATTTTAGATTTTCTTCCGTGAGCTGACTTGAATGAAAATTCAAAATAAAAAGAAGTTGTAAAACAAGATGGTACTTCTTCTCATCACTCTGGAAAGTGCTCAGGTGAAAAAATAAATAAAAAAATCTGAATTTCCCACCCCCCCAGAAAAAAAATCTTTAAAAAAAAAAAAAAAAGTAATTAATTGCTAAAATTGGAGTCCTGACTGATGGTTTTAAAAGCCGCCTCGTTGCTCCTGCAGGACGTTACAGGATGAAACGTCTCAGGTCGTCCAGCAGCAGCGACAGTTCCGACAACGAGAGTGAGTCCCATCTGTCCGAGACACCCGCTGACACAAAAACCTGGACTTCCTTTGTGTTTCTCTTCTCTGTAATCGACACTCGCTCGTCCCTTTTTCCTTTTAGGTCCTTCAACCTCTTTCTGCTCCTCCCACAAATATGAGAGTAAATCTGGAACCCCGGCCTCAGACCCGAAAAAACCAGCTGAAGTAAGAAACTAATTTAAAAACAACAACAACAAAAAAACAAAAAACATCAGGACTCGCACTAGACTTTGTCTTTCTGTCCTCCAGGTGTTCAGAAAAGACCTGATCAGTGCCATGAAGATCCCAGATTCCCACCACGTGTCGCCGGAGGACTACTACCTGCTGGCGGACAGCTGGAAGCAGGACTGGGAGAAGGGCGTCCAGGTGCTGGCCAGTCCGGACACCATCCCCGAGCCGTCCGTGAGGTACGCCGCGTCCCGTCTGAGCGCTCAGCACTCCGCTCGGCACTGAAAGGGTTCTCCTCGCTTCCCTCCTGTTCAGAGTCGCCACAGAGAAGTCCAAGGAAGTGCTCTACACCCACCAGAGGAAGTACATCCAGTGTTCGGGCCAGGAAGCGATGGAACCCGGATACGTCAACATCAAGGAGCTGGCGGAGGCCATGTGCCGCTACGACCTGGACGACATGGACCTGTACTGGCTGCACGCGCTCAACAGTGAACTGAGTCACATGGGTAAGGAAATCTATAAATGTCGGCTCTCTTTGTTTATGTCCCCAGACTGCTGAGGTAAGTCATTTCTTATAAATTTCCACACTTTTTTATTATTTTTAAAGTTGTTTTTGTCCATTCATTGCCCCACTTATCTGTTGGCCCATCCACCTTGCATTTTAGATTTATTCATTTACTTCATAATAAATATTGACCGCTGTGAAAATGTCTCCTTTAAATTCACATGGAACCATTGTATCTTTATTTTTTAGGATGGTTTGTAAAACAATTGAAAAGTCTGACATTTTCACCAAAAAAAAAAAAAAAAAAAAAAAA